GAAGAAAATGCAAGGCAAGGTGTGTAAACTGCAGAAATCTATTTATGGTCTGAAACAGTCTCCTCGGGCTTGGTTTGAGAGGTTCAGGGCTGCTCTTGTCTCCTTTGGTTACACACAAACTCAATCTGATCATACCCTATTCTTGAAGAGAAATGGCTCTCTGGTGACCTTTTTGATAGTTTATGTTGATGATATTGTCGTCACGGGTAATGACACTCAAGAGGTCAGTAAAATCTGAATTTGAGATCAAGGATTTGGGAGATCTTCGGTATTTTTTGGGCATTGAAGTTGCTAGATGTAAGGATGGTATCTTCATTTTTCAACGTAAATATGTCCTTGACCTTCTTGCTGAGACTGGTAAACTTGGAGCTAAACCAATCTCCACTCCTATTGATCCCAATCATAAGCTTTCTGCTACAGATGGTGACCTTTTATCTGATAAGGGGGTGTTTTAGAGACTGCTTTGGAAGTTGTTATATCTTTGCATGACTCGGCCGAACATTTCCTATGTAGCAAGTGTTATTAGTCAATTTATTCATTCTCCCAGAGATACTCATTTAGCTACTGCAGAAAGGGTTCTGTGTTACTTGAAAGGTACTCCAGGGAAAGGTATTCTATTTGCCAAACATGGACACATGAAGCTGGAAGCTTTCATTGATGCTGATTGGGCAGGATGTATTGATGATAGGAGATCCACCTCAGGTTATTGTGCTCTGGTCGCTGGGAACATTGTGTCATGGAGGAGTAAGAAACAGTCTGTAGTTACTAGATCCTCAGCTGAAGCAGAATACAGGGCAATGGCACATGGTGTGTCAGAATTACTGTGACTACAATCCCTTTTAGAAGAATTGGGGGTTGACTATGAGAAGACAATGATGCTTTACTGTGACAACCAAGGAGCTATCAATATTGCACATAATCCTGTTCAACATGACAGAACTAAGAACATTGAGGTTGATAGACGTTTTATAAGGGAAAGAGTTTCCTCAGGAGAAGTTCGTTTGCCATTCATCACATCAGACGAACAATTGGCTGATATCTTGACCAAGGGAGTTCCGAGAGGGAAAATGACACACTATATAAGTAAGYTGGGCATGATTGACATCTATGCTCAGCTTGAGGGGGAGTGTAAAGAGACTGGGCCGAATGGGT